CGGCGATGCAGACCCGGGCTGGGCAACAAGAGCAGCATTGGCGTTGATCAAGCGCATCTGCTCGCTGCCGTCGCGAATAGGCCAGTTGCGCGACCGCGCGCCGATGACGTCGATCTGCTTGAGCAGCGAGCCCTGGTCCCAGTACTGGCGAATTTGTGTGATCTTGCTCGACTTGTCAAAGTGGACCATGTGGACCTGCCAGTGTCAGTGAACGGCGCAGTGACCATGAGGGCATACGAATACCTACCATGGGAAACGTCACCGTTCGGTCCGCAACGAAATTGTCGTCCAAGCCGGGCAGGTATGCGCCGCCGCCGTTGTTGAACTCGATCGTCGTCTCAACATCGACACTCAAGCCGTGGCTGCCTTCGATCGCATCCACGATCTTCTGCTTCGTCTTCTTCAACAGTTTCTCCTGGACCGCCAGGTGCTTGATGATTGCCGTCGCGTCATTGATGCTGGTAGTCGTTGAGACATAGTGGAGAGAGGCATTGTCAGCCAGCGCGCTCGTCGAGGGCGTCGCCAGGAATCGGGCGTACGTGTCGCGAAGCGTCATGACGCCTTGGCTACTAGCTGCTGTGTGCTAATTGCTATTGTGCGTATGGATACTAGTCGCGAGCGTAGTGGCGGGTTGAGGCGGGGTGTGATGGGGAATGGTAATACAAATGTTGGGTGTAAACAGACGACAGCCGGGAGCGCGCGCAACTATGTATCAACGCAGTGGGAGGGTGAAAGGGGGAAATCACAACAATTGCGGGCAGGCCAGCTCCATTTGGCCCGCAGGCGCCCCCCCGGCCATTCATCATAACTGTTGTTGCTGCAGGGGCGCTCCCGCTGTTGCAGGACACGCCCCACCTCCTCAGCCACCCCAATGGAGCCGGCTTGCGGAGTTCCACGCGGAAGACGTTGTCATGCAGCTAGCGGTCATACTGCGGACATCTGTATTACTCTCACCCATAATCTCCTCTCGTTTCCCTTTTCCTGTGTCCTGCATGTGGCAAACAGTCCAAGTTCGCTCATGTTTGCTTGTCCGTATTGCCAACTACCGGCGTGTTTCAGATGGGTCTTGACCTGCCGTATAACCTCGGACGCCTGGGCAATCATTTTCTTTCCTCTCGAGATACCCTTTGCCAAAGTAGTGCTAAGCACTAAGCGCTAGGATGCCTGAACGTCGGGAGAGTCGCACGTCTCAATTCAATATCCAACATGCCGTACCCGTGCGTTGCCTATTCTTTTTCTTTAGTCCGAAAACGAAACATGGTCTTACTTTTTTTTATCATTTGTCTTTACAACGAGCCCCGGCGGGAAGCTCCATGATGACGTGTGTGTGCTGCATTGTTGTTCACTGTCGCTTCGTTCGTCTCGAAGAGCGCAAAAGAATGTATTCACAATACTGCTCTGGGGTGTTGATGTAGGTTCTCAGCTGTGGGGTTTACGCTAAGCGAGAGAGTCTCGGATATCCCTATATTGCTATACCCATCATGCTGCTTGAAGCGCTCATACCCTTTTTCATCATCATATGATCAAAAACGCTCCAGTTAACTCCACCAACGCCCACAACCCCTTCCTTTCCATTACTTTACCTAAGATACTTGATATCAAATGCTCGGTATGATCGCAGACGTGAAGCAACCAGTAAACACAGCAATATAGTCAAGGCAGCCGCTCTTTGATTCATGTTTCAAGGAACCCGTAGATAGCTGCTCTAATGCTGCCAACTCCTGGGTACATGCCACCTCTTATCCCTTGGAGTCTGATGGTGGCTCTATGAACAATGTTAGCAAGCTGTACCTCTGCGCAACATGAGAATCTTGTTACCTGTTCCTGTTTCCCAAACCGCTGCTCTGTGTCTGACCTCTAGAGCGGTGTTTCCCCAGATTTTGTGAATCTCTTCGTCCACGGTCGAATTGAGTGAACGGTAGAAGTCGTCGCTGCAAAAAATGCGGATACGTCTTATGGCAGCTTTCTGGTCGGGAATCCTCCGCTTTAGCCAGTGTATAACGTGTGCACTTCCCACAAATCCGAAAAGGTTGACGCTATAAAGGAGCAAACAGGTTTCAGCATGCACCTGCCTACAAATTCGCAGGATGCTGGTTTGCGGCTTCTTAACCTCCCAGTAGGCTTCGTCATCCAGGTGTATTTCTTCGGTAGCGAGGAGAATTTTCCATATTCGATTGCGAACTTCCGGGGGTACACGTAGCAGGGGCGATTCTTTTACATTTCGCTTTGCTCTAACAGTGCTGTCAGTTGATTTCAAGCATGCTGTTGTTATAATTACATCGCAAGGTAGTGGCTGTTGGGCGTAGCTTTGAGCGTTCCAAGCCTTAAGCTCCTCTCGCTCATCTGCTCCCTTGCCGCCTGCGTCTTCGCGCCCCGAGCGGGCTGACGCCGCTTGTGGTGAGTCGATGTCGACATTGTTGAAAGCTTTCGCTAGTACCGTGCAACGCGCACTATTTGGAACCAGGGCAAGATTTGGATAAGCTGCTCGGGCAGCCAACCGTAAGTTGAGTGGCAGAATGGAGGTAGTGGTTGAGTGTAAGACTTGAGTAGTCGCGAGCTACCACGACATATAGACTGATTTGCTGGGGTCGCTGTTTGTTTATTGGCTCAAGCCCGAAGTCATCTGTGGAAAAGAAGGAGTTGCCACGCCCACACTTTGTGACGCATTCACTTGGGAAGTGAAGCAGCGAGAGTGGATATACCGTTTCCTCATATTCCGTCTGGCAGTGGGGTGTTTCGATTATCTGAAGCCTTTGTCTAGTAGTCCTTACAATGTCGCAATGTCTCAACCGATGGAACTGTGTATTTGCCGCATACGTGATTGTCATGAGCAAGCAGAACACTGAAAACATCCAATTTCACTCAACCTTTTATCCACGTAATATTCGGTGTGCTTAGAATACATACTGAAAGCTGTGACAGGAGGCTGTCACTGTGAGTGAAAGAATAGGAAATTTGGATTGAGAGATACTGCCATCGGCGGCGGCTTCAAGGTTCAGCATTGATCAGTATTTTTTGAAGTGCATGAGCAGAAAAGGCCATGTGAAAGCGAAAAGGGGTATATTCTTCTGTGACGGAGGCTCTCAGGGTCGCTACCAAGAAAAGATAGGGTACTCAACTTTCCGTTGACACAAAGATGATGGGAAAGGAACATGCTCTTCCGTACAAGCATGACAACGCCTACTCAGCATCAGTTCAGACTTGCTCCGTTTAGTCGTCTGAACCATCCTCTGGTAGATCCTTCAGCACATCTTCCACGATCCCGATGAGCTCATCCACATCTGGTCGTTCACTTGGTTCCAACCTCAGACACTTTCTCACCACCTCCTTTACGCTGTCGGTGATTGCATCCTCGGGGTTCGCCTTTTGCTTTCCCCTTTGCATGCCTTCGTCCGGGAACCTCCAGTCGCCGCCTAGTACACAGATGCTTAGACTGCCACCTGTCTCATCTGACCGTGCCTCGAAAGGACTCTTGCCCACAAGACACGCGTATAGTGTGCAGCCTAGCGACCAAATATCCACCTTGGTGTCGATCACGGAGCCAGTCTTGACATCGAAGAGTTCGGGGGCGCGGTAGGGCATTGTGGAGTGTTCAGCGGCGGTATCTTGGACCTGTAGGGCAAGGGAACGCGATGTTATAGGTGTTGGAGAGGGCGCGAGGGAGCCGAGGTCCATCAGGATGGGTGTCTTGCCGTCATCGTCTATCATTATGTTGCCTGTAAGTCCGTTAGTCTCTGTGGCCCGAGTACACGCAAGACAAGTGACATACCCGGCTTGATGTCCCTATGCGCGTAGGCCCGCTCTCCACCAGGCGCAATGCCCTCATGCGCTGCTGTAACCTCAGACTCCTCCAGTAGTCCTTCTGCTTCTTGCTCGTCGTCTTCGTCGTGGTCACGATTCCTTCGGCTTGGGCGCATCTCCATGCTCTCCGCCGCTTCCGCATCTGCTCTCTTAGCATCTCTCCGGACTTTCTTCGCTTTGCCCTCACTCCGCCCACCGCCAGGACCTCCTTTGATCTTGTATTGATGCATCGCCTTGAGAGCTTTGCAGACACCCAGGAATAGCACCATAAGTCTTCTCTCAGGGAACTTTGTATGGTTGACCAGGTTTGCATTGATCATGTCTTGTAGGTTGCCGCGACGGTAGTAAGGAAGAAGAATGTAGACGGTCTTTGCGGATGCGTCTGACTTGTCGGTCTCAACGGAATAGTCGATCGAATGAATGATATTGGGATGCGGCGAGAACAGCGTGTATGCCTCGACCTCCTTCAGCGCAAGACTGACACTTTCTTGACCAAAGGGACATCGTATCTTCTTGAGCGCAAGCAGTTGCTGGTTTGAATTATCCTGTACGAGATATACATAGGAGAAGCCACCCTGCGTCGTGATCAGTTAATTGGACTCAAATGATTCGCGTCGAATGAGCCTACCTCGCCGAGCAACCGCAGTATCTTGAAGCTCCGGCTATTCACTTTGAGTTGTGGTGAACTTGGGAAGCAGACCATACAATTCGTGAGGGAATAGACAGCGTCGAGGAAATATGTGGCTAATGACCCCATTGCGGCGGTTGTTGCAGTTGCGATATGTTTGTTTGCGACCTGTCAACAGCTTTCGGGGGCGCGATGCCGGGATCTACGTCAGACGCGCGGTCGCTTCGTAGACGTCGAAGATGGTCAAACCAAGAAGGTCGCGAATCAATCGTATGTATCTTGGTTTGGTCGAATGAGAACAAAAGATGTGTTAATTGCTGAGACAATGCGCAGGTGTTCGGGGAAGCTGACGACGTGGTTCGTCCGGGATGCCAAGGGTGTGGCTGCGAGGCTTGTGAGCACTGTGACCCACGTCACGCTTCTCCTCGCCTAGACGAGCCGGCGACAAGAGATTGAAACGTGAGCCGTGATAGGTTGGAAGCCAGCAAATCAAGTCCCACCCGTCCTGACAGCGTCTCTAGTTATATAGAGACAATTTTACATGCTCTCCATCTTACATAAGAACCATCTTGGGGCGTGTGGCTCAGTGGTAGAGCGTCCGCTTTGCATTCCTCATGAAGCATGCGGAAGGTCCGGGTTTCGATCACCCGCCCGTCCACAGTAACTTTGTTTTTTGTCGCTGTTTGAGTTTTTCTTTTTGTCATCTTGACGGGCTGTACAGCATCGTAGTCTGTCAAATCAAGGAGTCTTTTCTTTTTTAGCGTTGCTGTGCCGCACCTGCACGGACCGAGGTCCCTTTATATCACTGGAAACCCCCCCGCAAAGCCTTATACCATCTTGCTCCTACAACATCTACCTTTGGCACTAGTTTTACGGGTCGTTGCATAAATTGGCAAATCACATACCGGTTCGGGTCAATTCAGCATTCCCTGCTACCTCCGTGGTGAAGAGCATTTGAATCAGCTCGTCATCAAAGGCTGAGGTTATAGCTACTGATGGCTACCACAGCCCCTGGCCTTTTCAGGCTACCGCTTGAGATTCGGCAGCAGATCTATCACTATACTCTGGTACAAGATTTCAGGGGCCGTAACATATACATATCGGCTACACAGCGCCATGGCTACTACAAACTCCATGGCCTAGAATCCATGGCAGGTCTCATTTTCACAAACCGCGCTATTCATTCCGAGGTTCTCTGCTACTGCTTCAGTCGTTTCAACTTCCACCTCTGCAACAATGCAGAATCGATACGCTTCGTCGTACGAGAGTTCTACCGGCAGATCGACCCGAGCAATCGGAAGCTTGTCAAACACATCACTGTCCCCAAATTCAGCATCGAAGACGTCTTCTTCCACCCTGTAAACATGGTGGCCTTGTTCGCTAGCTCGCGGGCGAGATACCTGCAGTTGCTCGACGAGATGCAGGGTATATTCCATGTCCTGGAACGCTTCTCTGCACTCGAGGAACTCGATCTGGGACTTCATCTAGACGAAGTGAGGCGATCTAAGATGGGTCAGCCTTGGGTTAAGAGAAGTGGGGAGCAGGATATGCAGTCATCTGCTGCGGACGATGAACATGGAGCGGTTAGTCCAAATCAAGCTCGTGGGTCCTACGTCTTGGAGACTATGGAAGATTTGCGGCACTTTCCAGCGAATGTAAAGATCGGGATCTGGTGGATATCACATCTTGCAGATCCTCCCATTGCGAATATCAACAATGCTCGGAAGCAAGCTATACAGCACATCAGGTCAAAGATTGCGCCTATTCAAGTAAATTGTCTGGGTGATATACCCTTAGGCGCCTGGCAACTGGACGATATTTGTCAAAACTTAGGATAAGCTGCCAGAAAATAACATGTGCGATATACTAAGGAAGATGGAAAAGGGGTGTTTTTTTCGCGCTGCGCACATGTTCCACAGCTACAATCCATCTTCAACACCAGCCCGTCTCTCCGCCTCCTGCCTCTCATCGCTGAATTTCCAAAACCATCCATGCGTAACCTGGTCAGACTCGTTGTGGACATCTCTAGTATTCCACGGCTTAGGCGCCAAAATGTAATGAACGTTCTTTACTTCCTCATCCCTCCAAACTGCATCATGAACCCCTTTCCAGCGCAGAGTCTTCAAAGCGTTGTAGACATATGGCAGCGCAACCCATCGGCCGCGAAAGAGATCCGAAAGTAGTGACTGATCAGCAAATGCATAGTCGGCTGTTTGAGGCTGCTGCAGGGTGGTCAAGATGAGGTCGTACACCGCTTTGCTGGGATTGATGACCTGCAGGCCACCGTTCATATATTGCAGCCCGACTGTGCATGGAGATCCTGATACCTGAGCTGTATCCGGGGTATCGTGTTGATGTGTAAATGCACAATTGGCAGGAATCCTATCGATTGTTCAGCGCCCACAACCCAATCTCAGATCCATAATACCAGCAAGGAACTAGCTAGCATGTCCGTTCAAGAAGCACAAAAAGAAGAACAAGAAAACTCACCAATCCTTGGGATAATGCTCCTTCCCCAACGGGTTACAAACACACGCATGTGAAGCAGCAAAAACCCTATTCCCCCTACCCTCCAAATCTGGGGGATCGAGCTCAACAGTCATCAACTCATCCATATTGCTTACGACCAGCATATCACTATCAAGCTGCACGACACGCTCAAACTGCGTCAGCCCATACGGCACCATTTTAGTCCAGCAGTCGTAGAAGCGGGGATCTGCGCTGTAGTCATTCGATGCCGTGGGAAGCAGATACGGCACGTGCAGCTTGCGGATGCCACGGCGGTCGAGCGCTTGGTGCGCTTCCTGCGGCAGCCCATCTGTGTACAGGACTATGAGGGGATGGGCGGATTGCGAGCGCTTGAGTGAGTAGTCGAGAGTCAGGAGGCCGGGGAGGTAGGCTGTGTTTGTGAGGAGCGTTGTCCAGACTGCGTGTGTGTGTGTGCTGGTGAGTTAAAGGATCATTTTCATTGTCGTATGTGACGTACCTTTGGAGGGAAGCTGGGTCTCGTCTGCAGTTGCCATTTTGGTCATGAGAATGGTGTCTCGGTGCAGTGAAAGGCGAGGGGAGCTGTCAGTCGCCTGACCTCGTGACAGAGATACGTACTCTTTAAGAGGACGAATATCTGCTCGAGCGAAGAAGGCGATAGTAAATGCTATGGTATGGAGTTGGTGTTCGTGCGGCGCTTATGCATGGCCAACTTTGTACTGCCTTTTTTTAGTGAAAGAACGACCTGTTCGGAGGAAACCCCGCACTAGCCTACCACAAAGAAGAAAGGCGCGTCATGCACGAGTGCGTGCAGAGCCGCTACTGGATTGGTGGGATTCTACATGCCAGAGAGTGCAGCGCAGGCATTGATCGTATACGAAGGAGAAGAAAGGTCACTTTCCAAAAACACAAGTGAGCTGAAGTAAGCAATCAAATTGTGCAAAAACCATGTTACTATACATAACAATCCCAATCTCAAACTCCCTAAAAATCACCCCAGCCTAATTTCTTTTGCCACTAATGCAAAGGGCAAGAATATCATTACACACGCAGACCAACTACTCTTCATCTTCCTCTTCCTCACTGTCCTCCTCCATACCCTCGGCAGCCTCAAGCTGGAACGTAGGCGCCTGATCCACACCCAGATAACTGTCACTAACCAGATAGCACGTCAACTCATGATGACCAGGCTTCTCGAGCGTAAACTCGAGCACAGTCTCCAACTTCCTCAAAATGGGCACCTTCTTGATAGCAAGCAGCGTGTGCTCCTTCTGGTCTCCAAGAACCAGCCACCAGCTCTCTGTCTTATCGGCAGGATAGAATGGCGCGTGGACTTCAGTCTTGGGCTCCTCGTCCTCTTCAAGGTTGCGCGTGATGCGCACCTTGAGCTGGGCAGGCGAGTTGGAAGCAATGTTCTCCGGGTCGACGAGCTCATGCTCGAGCTCGACGTTGGGGTAGAAGTTGTTTGTGAAGTTTGCAATGTCGGCGAGTTGGCGCTGGTCGACGTCGAGAGCGGCAATGAGCTTCTTGTAGTCTGGGTTCTCGTCCTCGTCCATGGCGTTGATGAAGTCGTCGACGTCGTTGATGTCGAATTTCTGCGCCGCTTTGATGGTGTCGGCGTCGAAGTGCGGGATCTGCTTGAGCGGAGAGTCCTTCTGCCACATTGCTTGGACGACCATTTGGGAGAGCTCCATAGCGGACATGGCGTTGAGATGGGCTTCCGAGGAAAGAACATCGACGCTGGCGCTGAGAATGGTGAGGACCTTTCGCAAGACTGTCTCCTGATCCTTGGCGAGATCGATTGGCAGCTGCATGCGCGAGAAGTGGGCCTGGAGAAGGACAAAGGCCTTGAAATGCGGCGTCTCAAAGTTCGGCTCCTGCATCTTGAAGGGAACACGGTCGTAGATACGCTGGAGGATGTGGTCTTCGTGTCGTCGAATCTGGATGTCTTCAAACTCGGTCGCGGCAGTAATAATCTCCAGGACACCCTTCAAGCTCGTCCTGCCGTTGAGCGACATCATGAGTGTCTGCATGGTGATGAAGGAGATGTTGTAGTATGCTGCAATCATGCATGGGTTCAATGGTGTGATCGCATCCTCGTCCTCGTCATGCTCAATCAGGTTGGCATCAGTTAGCTCCTTCAAGGTCGACTCGACCATGTCGGACAAGTGCGCGCTGAGTCCTTCATGCGAAGTGTCGTGCAGGTTGTAGTAGCTGGGGTTGGCGAGCAGACGGCGGTAGAAGTATGTGTATGTCGACCAGTCAACGGCTTCCTGTGTAGACTCGATTGTCTTCGCGCTGATCTCAGCGACAAATGCATCGTGAAGGTAGTCGTGAAGGTAGCTCTCGATCGGTAGCGCCTCGTTCAGGAACTTCTTGTAGTACTCGCGCTTCACTGCAGGCAGCATAAGCACACCCTTAGCCGACTTATCCAGTCCGACTCTGCCCGCCTTGCCGAACATCTGCAGGATGTCGCTGATGGGGTAATCAACGTATCTGTGTTCACGTCCCTCGTAGAACTGGGTGCCTTGAACGACAACGAGATGAGCACTGCTGTCGATCTCCCAGCAAGAGTCGCGGGAGACGATCAGAACCTGAATGGCGCCGACCTTGAACAAATGCTGAACGGCTCGTTTGTCGAACGAATTGAGGGCCTCATGGAAGTATCCAATACCGTGAGATAGCGAGGTAGCAAGAGCCTGCTCGTTGATTTTCTCGAGGATAGGTTGGATTTCCGTAAGCTCAACGTTGAGGAAGCGGTCCTCATCCTCGTCCGCGATGCAGGCATTGAAGAGGTCAGCAGCTGAGTTGCGGGCCTGCTTCCTGTTGGGAACAAAGACCATAGCTGGCTTGTCGGGAGACATCTGCGTGATGGCTGAGTATGTCGGCCGGGCCATGGCCATCATCAACGATGGGAAATGAGGGATGGTGAAGGACTGGATCTTGAGTTCCAGTGGCACCGCTCGAATAGCCGGGCTGAAATTGTAGATGGTGTGCTTGTTCGCGCCAATCCACTCACCAATATCGCGTGCGTTTGCCAGGGAAACACTCAGACCAATGATACGCAGCTTTGACTCCAGCTGGGTGGCCATCGCTTGCATACGCGAGACGACAATCTCGTAGACATGGCCGTTAGAGCCACCAAGCATGTGTAATTCATCAGCGATCAGC